TGTGCCCGCTCCCCGCGGTGGACGGAGTCACTGCCACTGCACACGTGGACTCCCGACAGTGACAACTGAGAAATCAGTCAAGGACACCAGGGCCTCAGGTCACTTGGGGATCTGAAGCGGGGCGCGGGCTGCAGACACCAGGGCGGCCGAGTGTGTACTGCTCCTCAGATTTGCCTGGCGCTTCCTGTACTGCACACAAGTAGAGTTCAGAGAGGGAGTGCGAGGGCGTGAGAAAAGTCACGTGAGTCCGGCGAGAAGTCTTCGCTTCTAGAGTCCTGGTTCCTGAGAATGGGGCCTGCGACATTTTGCGGAAGAACATTTGTTTTTGTTTTTTTTTGTTGTTGTTGTTTATTTGTTTTTCTTCCAGTACTAGGAATCAAACTCACAACCTTGCACTTGCCAGGCAGGCGCTTTGCCGCTCAGCTAAATCTCCAGCCCCTGCGGAAGAACGTTAATGATTCCTAGCAAGACTTTTACTTCAAAGGACTGGGCCGACACACCCAGCCTTTTATTTTCACTTGGTTTGTACACTGGGTTAAACAGGCCGGCGCGTTACTGAGTGCTGTTATTTGTTTTTGAATTATTTGTTCCAAAATTACCTGTGCGTCACCGGGCGTGGTGGTGCCCACCTGTAATCCCAGCACTCAGGAGGCTGATGCAGGGGGATCACTGGGAGTTGCAGGCCAGACTGGGCTACCTATGGAGACCCTGTCTCAAAAAACAAACTAAAACAAAAAGAAAGGAAAAAACCCTAAAAATAAACCCTCAAAAAACTAAACAAACAGACAAACAAATTTTTTGTACCCTTGTGCTTCAGGGGTACATGCATTTTTGCCCCAGAGTTTATAACCTTTGATAAATGGGTTCTGAACGTTTATTTTTTTCACCCTGGGAGTCCCTTTCATGTAGCAGCTACCCTATTGTGACACCCCTTCTCCTCTGCACCCGTGTTGTCATGTTCGCCTGCCCTGTGCTCTGGGAAAGCGAACGTTCAGGAGGAGCTGGGGGGAGCGTGATGTGAGGGTTCAAGAGCACATGCTCCGGGGTTGCCTGGGCCCAGGTTCTCCTCCTGCCTCTGCACCCGTCGCAGTCACTTTCTCACTGCTGATGCACAGTATCTGACACGCACAATTTAACGGAGGAGAGGTTTACTTCGGCTCACAGTTTGTGGAAGGTTCAGTCCATAGCTGGCTCCCTCCACGGCAGGGCCGCATGGCAGAGGGGAAACAGTCCATGGCAGGGCATCGAGGGGCAGAGAGCTCAAGGGAGGACAGCGATCTTGCCGGGCCACACCCCAGTGACCCACCCCACTCGCCTGGCTTCACCTCCCAACATCACATTCAGCTGTAAACCCATGAGCGGGCTAATCCAATGGTGAGTGTCACACACCATGGTCACCTCCCCAGGGCCTGCCTATGAGTGTGTGAGGCGTCAGGGGACGTCTGGGTAAGAACTGTAACCGTGCCTCACTACTTTTGTTGTTATTGTTGCTTTTTGAGACAGGGTCTCGCTAAGTAGCTCAGGCTGGCCTTGAACTCACTGTGTAGTCCAGGCTGGCCTCAGACTCATGGTAATCCTCGTGCTTCAGCCTCCCAAGTGCTGGGATTACAGGCATGTGCCACCATGTCCGGTCAACCTCACTGCTTTGTGACTATGAGGAATTGCTTGACCCACCAGAGCCTCATCGGCAAGCTGGAGACAGGACCGTCTGCCTCGTAGGACAGGCATCGGGGTAAAGGGGATGTGAAGAAGCACAGTGCCTTGTTTGAGCGCTGAGTAAAGTGGCGCTCTGATTTGCTATTAATAGCTACAGTATTGCTAAACGCAGCAGTGGGTCGAGAATAAGGGCGTCTAATCCTGCGTGGATTTTGGAATTTTGGTAACAATTTCCAGTAAGAAGTCCCGCACGCTGGGCACACACTTGAAATGAGAAAAGAAAAGGATAAGTACGGAGCAAAATAAAAACCAGTAACAGGAAGGAGGGGGTCCTTCTCGAGTTCACTTACAGGGTGTGCCCGCCCCTCCGTAATGTCTCATAAGAAGACATTTCTAGCAAGACGTGCACCCACACACTCTGAGAAGAACCGACTTAAAGCTCACTCAGGTCCCCTGTGTCTAAAATTCTCTCAGTAAGTCTGCAACAGGACTTGGAGGTTGACAGCCCAGCTGGTTCCCCTGGTCGTTGATTTACTGATTGATTTGTATTAGTCCCTCTGAGGTCTAACGCTGCCGCCCTGTGAGGAGCGAGCCCTGCGCCGCCTGGCCCCTCCCATCCCTTCCCCCGCCTCCCTCCGCCTCCCACAAGGAGGACCCCCTGCTTCCTGTTAGCGTCCTCTGCTTTGCTCCTTATTTATACTTGGGTTTCTCATGAAAGAAATCATGGTACTTAAGTGTGTGCGTCTGATTTACTTCTCGTATATTCTAGTCTCAGGCTGCCTCTATTTACCCGCGAATGACTCAAGGTGATCTTTGTTTATGGCAGCGTACAGCAGTGGATTTTAGTTTTTGTCTTTAAATCTTTTTATCATTTCATTTAAAGAAATTCTAAAGCAGCTTGTTTGTGTGTGCTCCTGATGTGTAACGGGCACACTCTCGTGGGAGCCGGGACACACAGGTCAGGTCTGACCTGCTCACTCCTACTCCCTTCCTGCCCTCCCGTCTCCCGGCCCCGCTTCCCATCCCCTCTGAGCTGTCTCCCCACTTCACTAGAGAGAGAGCAGGTGCTGGTTCGTGGGTAGGTGCACTGCATTCCTCCGAATTACAGTTTTCATCTTCCCTTACAACACCTTCTGTCTGCATAATGTCAGTCCATTCTTTCAGTTCCCATTTTTATACTGATGACTTTTGAATCCATATCCTTACCCAGAGGCTCTGCATTCTGGTAGATATCTACATCCAAATATCCCATGGTGCTTCAGGCTATCTATCAACAGGTGAATTATGGTATATCTGTGCAATGGAATATTACTCAGCACTGAAAAGGAATGAAATATTAATACATGGAACAACACAGATGAATCTCAAAATAACAGTTCTGTGTGAAAACAGACAACTAAAAGACAAACATATTGTACATTTCCACGTTTATAATATTATAGGACATATGTCTTGGTAGTGACAGAAAGCAGATCAGTGGTTGGCAAGGATGGGGAGGGGAGAAGAAGGGGAGGACTATAAGGGGGTAAGGGGTGTATTTGTGGTGTTGGATATATCTGTATTGGATTAGTAGGTTTATTATATATCAGTCACACCTGAGTAAAGTCCCCCGGTGGCAGCACTGTGGACCCGCAGTGGTTCTGCATGTCACTGTATTCTGAGCAGTGTGTTGACTGCATTACTTAGCAAGTCATGACTTAGAATTTCTGGTATCTGCTCTCTCGCCACTTCCTCTTCCCTTCCCCTCATCCCTTGAATGACTTTTTCCTCAGTCGGGAGTCAGCGCTGGCTTTCCTGGGCATACCGAAGGCCACATCGCTGAGTCGGGTGTGAACCTTGATCAGCTCTACACCTGCCACATGGTCTTGGTCTTCCCTACAGTGTGTGCTTTGTTTTGAGAGCTGGCAGCTGACTTTTTCCGCTGCCTTAACAGCCTTGTCAGCCCGCCCCAGTGTCCGGGCGCTCGCGCTGTGCTCTGTGGGTCCCATCCCCAGCCTGCGTGGAGCTGTCTGTCCTGGTCAGAGGAGCTCGGTGCCCAGCACCCCTCCCATGCCCCAGCGCTGCGTGGGATCGGCCCGAGCCCCGTCCCTTGTGTCTTCCTTCCCGTGTTCAGTAGCCCTCCCCGGGTTCAGGACTTTGTGCAGCCTCTGGCTGCTTACAAAAGAAGCACCCTTGGACATTAAAGTATGTGTGTATTCCTCGCAGAGCACAGACGTCATCCCCTCACCCTCACAGAGTCCAGATGGACAACAGCTTCCCTGCTCCGTGGCAGGCCAGCACCTGACGTCATCAGGTGATCAGACCCGACCTCCCTGCGTGTCTTTCCCCTCAGGAAAGTCCCAGCTTCCTCTCTTCTTACTGACACCACGTGTGGTTGTTCACGCCTCGTTCTGCAGAGCCGTTCATTTATCCAGCAAACACCCGCGGCGGGCCTGTCCCGGGCTCCGGGGGCGGGAGGGTCTTTCCCACAGGGCCTGTGTCTGGTGAGGGCAGATGCTGAGAGGGCTGGTGAGGGCTTCGGAATGGATTCTGCCGGCTCTTTGAACGAAGACAGCTCGGATTCTATTGCGTGGTGTGCAAGGGGTGGTGCGGGAACTTGCCCACAATCCTGGGGGCTTCCGTTGGCCCAGGTGGGAGGCATCGCAGCTGCAGCTGGGTGGTGACAGCGAGGACAGTCCCTTCTGATGGAGTCGCTGTGGGCAGAAGAGAGGCAAGCAAGGACGCTGCAGCCTCCTGGGCTGTGCGGCGCGGTGACGGCGGCGTCGCCTCCTGAGATGGGGCGGAGGGGGCACTGTGCCTGATGCGTTCAGGTGCGCCGGGCTGGAGATGCGGCTGGCGCCGTGTCCAGAAGCGGGTGGTGCTCAGCGCAGAGTTCCCGGAGAGGCGGGCGGCGGCTTCCCTGAGCCGGGCTGGGTGGAGCTCTGGTACAAAGAGATGCCGCGGAGAGCCGGCCAGTTCTAATACAGAGGGGCGCCAAAGAGAATCAGAAAAGGAGCGGCCTGCAGGACGGGGACCCAGGAGAATTCACATCCGAGAGGACAGACGGACAAAGAGGTCTGGGAAGGGATGGAGCCGTCGGACCAGGGGCGGCGGCTTGCGCAGAAGGAAGACCGGCAGCTGGACGGTGCCCTGCGACAAGGCCGGTGCCTCCCTGGGATCAACCACGCCTGCGTGGGACGTGCAGGACTGTGAGAGCCCGAGGTCCACCAGCGTAAAGTTCTCCCCTCAAACTTGAGAGACTTAAGGATTCCTTTGGAGTGGAAGTACATACGTCCACAGTCAGTGAATGAATTTCGTTCGTTTGTGGTGAGACTCCTGACCTATCTTTCTGTTTTTCTTAACAGCACTTTCTTCCCCTTGCCAATCTGGACTGTTCGCCGAATGTTGAAACTTTCCTCTGCCAGGCGTTTATACCGACCTGCACGGAGCACGTTCACGTGGTCCCGCCCTGCCGCGATTTCTGCAGGAAAGTGTATTCCGACTGCAAAAGCATCATGGACACCTTCGGGATCAGATGGCCTGAGGAGCTTGAGTGTGACAGGTAAGTGTGCTTTCCCTGAGTGCCGCCCGTGTGTTGGTGCCAGACTCTCGTGTAGTCCTCAGACACTGCCGCTTAGCGTGCGCCGGGCACAGTGTTGGCATCACAGACAAATGGCTCAGAGCGAGCAGAGGTGGCTCCCACTCTCGGGGAAACTTGCAGCGAGGTGGGAGGGACGGGCATTAGGAAGAGATGTGCCGGCAAGTGCGAAGTGACCGCCGGGACCGGTCCGGCCAAGGAGCTGCGCACCGTCCTGTGGGGACACGTCTTGGTTCCCGCGACCTGTGAGGGGCAGGACTGCGGGGAGAGGTCCGAGGGAGGGAGAGCTCCCGGGCCCCTGAATGAGCTTGTCGGGGACCTGGTGACAGGAGGGAGCGCGGTGTGCTGGGGAAGGGCAGCCAGTGCAGCTCAGTGCCACAGAGAAACGAAGGGCTGCTGGCTGGAGCCGGGCAGGGCGAGCTCGTGAGACCACCGGGAGGATGCAAGGACTTCGGCCCGCAAGCTGCAGGGACCGAGGCGGGATGCAGAGCTGGGTTTGGGAGACGGGTGCACTGCCGGCTGGGCGGGACTCCTTGTGTCACCGGGACTGTCGGTGGCCGAGGAGGCTAGGGAAGGCCATCCGACCCAGGACGTCAAGGAGACAGGAGGCCGGAGCGGCTGTGTGCTGTCTGCGTGGACGGGCAGGTCACCAGCAACGACGGCAGTGCAGAGGGGAGGTGAGCAGGCTGGGGATCCTTTGAACAAACACTGGCTGCACTTACTGCACACTGAATGGCCCTGAGCACCAAGGTGTGGCGGGGCAGGGTGTGTCTTGCTGTGGCGCTCACAGTGCCGCCGGAGGAGGAAGACAAGGTGGGCTTCTGTTCCCGGAGGGCGCGGCCTGCGGTGCCGCGCTGCTCTGCACGGGGTCTCCCGCTCCACCGCAGAGTGGGTGAGGTGCCTCCATCTCTGTAGTTTGGGTTTGTTGAGGAAATGACACTTTTTAAAATAATTAAACCAAATTGAATTTATTTCATGTTGGAGAAAGCTTGATATATGGAATTGGTAAGTAGAATCTCATTTTAAAGAAATTGTGCTCGCCTTATGCTAAACTGCACTCCACTAATATAAAGCAAGGGGCCAAGTGCATGTAGGAATAATTCTGGTGTGTTCTGTACTAGACAGATCTTATTTTTCTTCAGTTTTATAAATTAAACTTTTAGTCTTTTACTTTGAAAACATGAAGAAAAAGGAAATTTCTGATTAAAACCCTAATTCTAGCAAAAGTGACATATTATGTTTTAATAAAGCTGATAAATGCACCATTATTCATTTCATGGGCATTTGTTTTATTATTCTGTTGTTATCTAAGTACATTTTAAATGGGTTCTCATTAAAACTCAGACTGCTTTTTAAGCTATACAGAGTCTTCCAAATAGCGGCAGTGTATACAGACTCGGCCACTGGCCAAGTTCGGTCCTCATGAGAAATGTCCCTGTGTCCACACACGAGGGAGGTGAAGCCCACCCTAAACAGGATGGTGATGGAGGTGACCAGGTCCTGCTCTGTGCTTTGCGGCCTTCTTGGCCTTGCTTAGAAACTTGAGCCTGAGCCTGTCCACCCAGGGGGAATCTCATTTCTGCCGTTCTAGCTGTCCCAGCTTTGCCATGTGGTTGACTTGGTTTGCTTGTGGGGCTTACAAGGTAAGCGGGGGGCTGGGGATGTGGCTCAGTGGTAGGGCGCCTGCCTGGCATGCACAGGCTCTGGGTTCAGTCCCCAGCACCACAAGAGAAAGAAGGAAAGTGAATACCTCCAAACTTAAGCTTCTTATGCTCTAAGTAGGCAAGCCAGTTCTTTTTTGTCAGGAGAGAACCAGTTTAGGTAAATTCTGTCTTAAATAGCCTTAAAAGCTGAAATTATTTGAAAAATATTTGGTTAATGCCTACCTGCTTTGTGCTTAGTACGTACTAGTGTGCTGAAACCTCATGACCCACTGCAAGGTTTTAGTCAGTTCAAACCTTCCACCACCCCTAACCTGTGATGTACTTAGGTTTGTGTATCTTGCCATCGTTTGGATGGAGAAGGTGATATTCTATGGTCGGAAAGCATATTGTAGCAAATCAATGAAAATGCCGACCTCACAGAGACCATCTGTATAATTACAGGTTGCAGTACTGTAACGGGACTGTTCCTGGAGCTCTGGGTCCACACGGGGGATCTGGTCCCCAGAAGAAAACAGAACAGGTCCAAAGAGACATCGGCTTCTGGTGTCCGAGGCACCTTAAGACTTCTGGGGGACAAGGCTACAAGTTTCTGGGGATCGACCAGTGTGCGCCTCCGTGCCCCAACATGTATTTCAAAAGTGACGAGTTAGAATTCGCAAAAAGTTTTATTGGAATAGTGTCGATATTTTGCCTCTGTGCGACTCTGTTCACGTTTCTCACCTTCCTAATCGACGTCAGGAGGTTCCGGTACCCTGAGCGGCCCATCATCTACTACTCCGTCTGCTACAGCATCGTGTCTCTCATGTACTTTGTTGGGTTCCTGCTCGGCAATAGCACAGCCTGCAACAGGGCGGATGAGAAGCTGGGGCTCGGGGACACCGTGGTCCTGGGCTCCCAGAACAAGGCCTGCTCCGTTGTGTTCATGTTTCTGTACTTTTTCACCATGGCCGGCACCGTGTGGTGGGTGATTCTGACCATCACTTGGTTCCTCGCCGCAGGGAGGAAGTGGAGCTGCGAGGCCATCGAGCAGAAAGCAGTGTGGTTCCATGCGGTGGCGTGGGGAACCCCTGGCTTCCTGACCGTGATGCTTCTGGCCATGAACAAGGTGGAAGGAGACAACATCAGCGGAGTGTGCTTTGTCGGCCTCTACGACCTGGCGGCCTCTCGTTACTTCGTGCTTCTGCCCCTGTGCCTGTGTGTGTTTGTGGGGCTGTCCCTGCTCCTGGCCGGCATCGTCTCCCTAAACCACGTGCGACAGGTCATCCAGCACGATGGCCGCAACCAGGAGAAGCTGAAGAAGTTCATGATCCGCATCGGAGTCTTCAGCGGCCTGTACCTGGTGCCACTGGTGATGCTGCTGGGGTGTTATGTCTACGAGCAGGTGAACAGGGTGACCTGGGAGATCACGTGGGTCTCAGACCACTGTCGCCAGTACCACATCCCGTGTCCTTACCAGGTACGAGCCGGACTGTGTCATTGTTCAGAGTGCAGAGAACGTGCCTGAAAGTGTGCTTGTGCAGTCGTGGACGGAAAGTTAGATTTCAGGTGGGAAAATCCAGCAGATTCGGGGAACAATTCCTGTGCATCAGCTGAGACCCAGGCCAGCGTCCTGGGAGAGTTCTCTGGAGCTGTAGCATCTATACAATAAGAAAGTGCCTCCTTTGTTCCTTAAAATGTTCAGCTGGGTCAAAAGGCAAACCGTAATGAGTAGTCAGAGCAGGCCTTGTGAGAGGGAGAAGTAACGGCAGCTGAGTGGGGGGAAGCCCTTACTTGGGCATATGCTATTACATCATCGCACACATTTCTGCATAGTGCAGACATTCCTCGTTTGACTTCCTACCTGTTTATCGGCAGTTCAGACCTAAGTCTGAGATGAGCTGTTCAAGCTTGCAACCTGCCACTCGGATTTGCAATCTGCCTTTTTCTGGTACAGTTTTTTGTGTCTTGTGTATTGAGCCTCGATGTCTTTTTTGTGCGTACACCTTGTTTACACGGTACTGCAATTTTTGCTCACAGTACCCTCCAGTACAGTGGTTCTGTTATACATTACAGGGCTGCACGTAAAAGCCGAGTCATCCAGGCGGACTTTCCTTCGACCGTTTCTTTGTTCTGACTGTTGTACTGTGCCTACTGTACACAATTCCTCATTTAAGGACCCAGTCGCAGGAATGACACCTGGTCATTAAACAGGGATTGTCTATATATACTCATAAAAAAAAGAATTTGATTTCTGCAGAACCCATATTGTTAAGTGAAAAAAAGCACAATTGAAGCAAAGTATGTTTTATGTGTTTCTAATGGTTATGACTAGTATAAGGGTAGTGTTTTTAAGATTTAAAAAGTATGTTTCTGAAAATATAAAATTTATTAAGCATTTTAGTTGAGATTTTTAATAGAAAAAAGATTTTAAAGAGAATCTTACACAAGCATTATCCTCATAGCGTATCAAATTAAAAATTACTTTGCATAATATCAAGATAGTTATTGCAACATTACTTGCAGGTTGGCAATCACCTAAGTATCTTTAAGAACGGGTAGTTGAATAAGTCCCCGTTCATCCACACAGTGGAACAGGCCTTTGCAAAGAAGTAAGGACTATATTTGTACTGATGTAGTCTCCAAGAAATGTTAGTAAATATGAAAAGCAAAGCGAATGTAGAATGCATAATATTTCGATAGTCATACAGTATTTGAAAATTTATGCTTGAAATAAAAGTATGAGTTTAATTTTTATGAAACTCTACACTTTTCACATTTTACTGATACTTCTTTTATTTTGGCCACACAAGTTTTTATAACATAATCACGCATGTTAAAGGCTGTGAAATGTTGTTATAACACATTTATTTATATTTTTGTGGCAGGTTACAGTGAAGGAAAACAGGTAAATATTTAGAGTAAGTATATGGCAGTTATAAAGGGCTGCTGTGCCTATAGGAAAAGAGGCCAGGAAATCATGCCAAGATTTAGATTTGGCAAAATCTAGAAAAATACTAAATATAGTGTAATATTTTCCCTCTTCAGGAGATCTATTTTGATATGCATCTAAAGGTCACTTGTTTGGAACATAGCTTACAGATGTGTTGTTCTTAAATATTATTCATTATATTATGCATTTCAAACCTTTATAATCAAATAGAAGATTTATAAATTTTGTTCCAGTTTTATATTGTCATTTTACATATATCATTTTTGTTCTGTAGGTAAAAACAACAGCCCGACCGGAACTGGCGTTATTCATGATAAAATACCTGATGACCCTGATCGTCGGTATATCCGCTGTCTTCTGGGTCGGAAGCAAAAAAACCTGCACCGAGTGGGCTGGGTTTTTTAAACGAAATCGCAAGAGAGAGTAAGAACTTAATGAGTTTTCTGACAGTGGTGGAAAATAAACAGATCAGAGTACCAAAACCATTTACCTAAGACAGTAAAAATTGTCAACCTTAACTTTAGATAGAAAACAATTACATTTAAACCAAGACTATTAATTATATTCTGTGTCCTCTGTCTGCTGGTTTACGTTCCAGTCTGATGTACTTAAATATGATACAGATACAGTCAGTCCCTTACCGTGTGCTGGTTCGACTCTCCTTTCCCCGCTCCTTTGACTTTCGTCTAGTTTTTTACCAGCTTCTAATTTCTGCTGACGGAAGTGAAAAGTGTTGGCACAAAGCAAGTTTTCGCTGTGGGGACATCTGCTTACTTTGCAGTATTTGCAGTGTCAGGTTTGACAAGTGCTGTCCGTCGGGCAGGATGTCTAACGCTAGAGCACTGAGCACGTTTCCCGCCTTTCCCCGCAGCCCCATCAGCGAGAGCCGCCGTGTGCTGCAGGAGTCCTGCGAGTTCTTCCTGAAGCACAACTCGAAAGTGAAACACAAGAAGAAGCACTGCAAGCCGGGTTCGCACAAGCTGAAGGTCATCTCCAAATCCATGGGGACCAGCACCGGGGCCACAGCGTACCACGGCACCTCCGCCGTGGCCATCGCGGACCATGACTACCTAGGACAGGAGACCGCGACGGAAATCCCGACCTCCCCGGAGGCGTCGGTGAGAGAGGCGGGCGCAGCTAGGGAGCAGGACCCCGGGGAGCCCGCGTCCCCCGCAGCCAGCTCCAGATTTGGCGGGGACGTGGGTGACAGGAAAAGCCAGGCTGCCAGCGCTCAGGACAGGACCAGTGTCTCCGAAAGTGCCCGGAGCGAAGGAAGGTGAGGACTGATTCCGTTACGGCAGATCATCCGGATTTTAAACGCTGCATCACACGTTATTTATCTTTTGGTTACCTTTGTTAGTCCCGGTTTGCAGCGCTGCACTGTGGGTGCAGGCGTCTTCGTTCTTTTCTCCTTCTCTTTCCCTCTCCCCATCTCTTGGTCCCTTCCATTTTGCAAAAGATCTGTCCCTCTGTGCTGTCTTTTATTTTGCTCTTTAAACTATTTGTATTTTGGGTTTCTCAGAGAAGAGAAACCCTTGGATATTTAAGCTTGTGCCTCTGATTCATTTCGCTAACCTGAGGGTCTCACACCTCTGGAGGTCAAGCATTTGAGGACTCTGTGCGCCTGGTTCTAAGTCAGGCCGGCCAGGCTCAGCCTGTGATGTGCTCCTCAACGCTTCTTCGCTGTAAGCAGAGTCTTGACACCAGCTCTTCAGCAGCAGTAGCCGTGGTCATTTCTACGGCAACTGTTACGCGTTGCTTGTACACTTAGCTAAGTATTTCTGCTTCATCTGAAATACAGGCTCAGATTTCATCGATACTGCATTATTATTGGGGCAGGGATATAGCTCAGCAGCTCAGTGCCTGCCTGGCAAGCACAAAGTTCTGAGTTTGATTCCTGGTACAAAAAAAAAAAAAACAAAAAAACCTACATTATAGCTCTGTCTAAAGATGACTGTAAGATGCCTTTTGCTTTCTGAACATGAAAGGACGTTGCCCTCTTTAATGAATTTTGTCCCACATGGACACAGATGACCAAAGGTGAGAAGGGCCCCATGCTGACCACTGACTCCTTTAAATTGTCCATTAGGTCAAAGTACTTTTTGTTTTCCCTTGACAGCTATGTTTGTTTTTGAGGTTTTTTGTTTTGTTTCGTGGGTTTTTTGTTTTTTGTTTTTTTCAGTATTGGCGATTGAACCCAGTATCTTCACACTGAGCTATTTCCCTTGGCCTTTTGTTACTTTTTATTTTGACACAGGGTCTTACTAAATCATTAAATTGTCCAGGCTGGGCTCCAACTTGGGACCCTCCTGCCTCAGCCTCCCAGAGTGCTGGATTAAGGTGTACGCCATTGCACCTAGCTCCACCACCGTCTTTGTAGACCTGGACGTAATCAGATACACGCTTTATCCCTCACTAGATGTGAAGAGTCCTCCAGGCAGGACCGAGGTCTCACACATCTCGTTCCCAGCCTCTTGCTTGCTGTCTTGTCCATGGTGGGGATCTGGAAAGGATTTGCTCAACTGAGGCGGGACTCCAGCCTTTCTAGCTGTGAGTGCCGGGAGACACCGCATGACATCTGTTGGGCGTAGGTAGCACTTGATGAAGTTTGTAAAGTCAGCAAAAATTGTATTTGAAAAAACGTACCCGTGTTGTGAAGTGTAAGAACCCAGCAGAAAGGGTTCAGGGCACCAGCCTCGGGGGAGGGCCGGTGTCGATGGGGCGGACGCTCAGGACAAGCGAGCAGCAGCCGCAGGACGTCTGACAGTTGTGCGTCTTCTCCTCCCAGGCTGAGCCCCCAGAGCGACACCGCTGACGCCGGCTCCGGGCAGGGCGCAGTCACGCAGGTCCCTGGTGGCAACCTCGAGGGCCCGGAGAGGGCCACATCTCCTGGACCCCCGAGGACCCCCGAGGACACCGTGGGCGCCGCGCCGTAGAGAAGCCCTGGGGTCTTCCTCCTTGCATTGACCTTGGCATCAGTGACTGAGCTACTGGGGAGAATACTGATTTCAAGAACAATACGACTCATTTCCGCAAAGGCTTCTGACGGCGGGAAATTCCTGAAAGCAGAAACGCGAGGGTTAATGATATCTTTTAAGTCGCTTGGGAGGAGGAGCTGCAGGAACCTTCCTCTTCTGTTCCTGCAGATTCTACTCCAGTTAGAAGCATTGTAAGATGGATTTTTCTATGTTGGTTTTTTGACATCCAGGCAAGATTTTTCTTTGCTGAAGTATTTAAAACATCCTTGTACTTTTAAAATATGTACTTGAAAATAAGCTTATGTGTATTTGAATATTTTGGAAGTACTGGAAAATCGATTTGCGTATTTTTATGATCATACTCATATTTTAGTACTACTTTGGTAGCATTTACACTGAATTTTAAGAAAACTAGAACATAGTATTCGTTTATAGTATACAAAAATAGTTGACACACCAAAAGGTTTTATAAAAGGTGTTCAACTTTAAAGAACCACTTCTACCTTACTGTGCAGGAATTTTGTTACTTCTCATTGTTTTAGGAATTCCACGCAGGTTTCTCATGCAGCTGAAATAAGGTGCTTGCTGGAGGGTGTCCCCCGTGCTGTGCTGCTCCCAATCCTGCTGCATTTTTGAAATAAAATGTCCTGAAGGATTAGCAGAGGAATTTTATATTCTTTTACAAACTAAGCCAGGTGCAGTTGGTTTCCGTTTCTTGATGTTTCATGACCACCTATAACTGCATTACAAACATTTTCAGTTCCTCAGACTTCTCCTTTGCCTTAACTTTTGTTTTTTTAATGTTTAAAATATTGCAAACACTTTATATGGCATAGTGTTAGTCTCCTATGTTATGCAAAATTCACTTTGTAGCAAAGTAGCTGAGTGTGCGAAAGTCCCTTAGCGATGTTAGTGCCAGTCCGGTGGGGGAAAATGTCCCGAGAAACAAAATGGTTTTTGTACATACACGTCAAGATATTCAGGAGTTTTCATAGTCTTGTTTGTTAAACAACATTTTCTGATACTTTTGATACGTTTAGCATACTATTAAAGCGAAGAAAGAAAATTATCATGTACTGTATGGAAAATGTTGTACCTATGAACTTTTCCACATTTGTAAACAGATAACTTTGTATACCAGAACCTTGTTTTGAGTGATCTTTTTATTAATAAAATTGTCTTTATACAGGAGATTGTGAAGTATTCTGTGTTCAGTGGTACAATCCCGGGCGGGAAGTAGTACCCAGTAAGGCCTTGGATTGCAGATCGCTTGGATTGCAGTGTTCCGCCAGATGAGCAAGCATTACTAGTAAATTTTAACTTGACAGACAAGCAACGTCGAGTAGTGTGTGACACTGAATGTTGCGTGAGCTCAGCGGAGCCAGTGGTTCCTCTCTCTCTGGCTGCAGGACTGTGTGCTTGTCACTTTTCTGCAAAGTCCTCAAAAGGAGACAAAAACAAGTGTCATTGGCAGGTTCCTTGTATGAAAAGAAAACAATTCCACTGGGCTCGTAGACAGCAGTGATCCTGTTAGTGACGGTGGAAGCCGTCCAGCACAGTACCCTCCTCTCTCCTGTCTCCCTCACACCAGTCACGAAGGTGTCAAAGGTAAGTGCAGGTTAAGTTGCTTATTTTCTTTACATTTTGAATTCTCTTTATTATTTTGTATTATAGCATTGTAATCGTTTTTATATGAACATTTTTGTATTGGGGAATGAATCATCTGAATTTCCAATATTTCTTCTGGGGAAATTCACTTTGGATTACAAATGCTTTGGATTACAAGCATGTTTCCAGGACAAATTATGCTTGCAAACCAAGCTTTTACTGTAATTTTTCAGATTAGTGACACCATTAGGACACTCAGAACTCTTTTTTTTTTTTTTTTGGCCACAATTTTTTCCCCAAAGAAAGCTAAAATATATGGGAGAAATAAGGCATCATCATTCCTCAAACACAAGGCGCTGCCAGGCTCAGGTGTGGGAGGAGAGAGGAGCGTGGCCCCCATTGCCGGGAGCTTCCCTGGGCAGGGCGCTCGGCTGACGGAGAAAAGGGGCTGGGATGCGGAGCAGAGCTGCTGGTGGCCCCAGGGTGACCCAAAGGGCTGCAGAGGAGGAGCAAGCGTGACCTGTAAAGGAGGCAGTGCTGCCTCAGGCTTTCTGGGTGCACCCCAAAAAGTTCAAGCCCTGTCCTGAGATAGTAACCCACAGGCACCAGGCAGAAACAAAAGAAGATCTCAGGAGGAAGGAAGTGTTGTTCTTTCTATCCTGCAAGCACTTTCTAAAACACAGGGCCCAGCCTGTGATCATTTAGGGGTACAAAAACAATTTCTTTGGTTCATCAAAAGGATGAGCAAGAATTGGCATGAATATCAGATAAAAACATTCACCAGTACTCTTGAAGGGCCAGACATACCTTGTATAATGTATAAATACCAATGAGATGCTATGTTCCTACCAGAAGGATTAAAATAAAATCAAAGCTGCTAGTACCAAGTTTTGGTGAGGATGTAGAACAGCAGGACCCCATGTGAGGCTGGTGGGAAGCCTGGGGTGCGGCCACGCAGGGGGCTGTGAGCCCAGCTGCACGCGGTCCAGCTCCATGGGGTCCAGCTCACACGGTCTTCTGCAGCACTGACAGCCACACTTCTGGGGTCCTGCTGTTTGGTTTGTGTGCAAAGTCCCCCTGCAACAGGCAGCGCTGCACCTACCCTTCCATCTGGCAGCACATAGTGACCTCCTTCCAAGCGCAGTAGGGACTGCAGACGCTGGAGGAGGTGTGGTGTGGGGACAGCGGCTTCACAGTAGAGCAACTCCACAAACACGGCCCCACCACAGAAGGTGACCAGGCCTGGTGAAAGCATATGACCTTCGTGTGTGCAATTGGAATGTCACTTCACCTCTGTGACCCTCGTCCCCAAAACCTACCGCCTCAGTCTAGCCGGGAGAAAGCTCTTAGATAAACCCCAGTGGATGGACATTCTCCGAAGTATCTCACCCGTGCTCCTCAGAAGGAGTTCAGATCCCGGAAAATGAGAGAGTCAGGGAAACACGGCCGCCAAGACAAGACACCTGATGACAACTGCACACAGCGGGAGAAAAAAAGGTCGAAAAGAAAAGGTTTGTTCCATAAGAATGAAGGAAATCTGAACAAAAATGGGCCTTGGTTACTCCTTGGCTTTGCCATTCAGCTCAGCGCGGTGCCCTTTAACCATGGTGCGACACCCCTCCCTCAGTCCAGTGCCCTGCCTCCCGGGTGGGCCTTCCATGTTCTCATCTTTCTTCTCTTTTTGCTCACCTCTGAATTTCAGAACCTCTCTAAGAAAATGTATCAGGCTTATCTTTTAAATTTCTATTAAATTTTTGTTTGGTACCATCTTTATTTTGGTCTTTTTTTTGGTTCTGTTTGTTGGTTCTGGTTTTTTTGGTACTGGGATTGGGCACCATCTTTAAATTTCAAAACATTTTTATTTTTGTTTGTTTGTTTTTGTTTTTTTTTTTTTTTTCCGGTACTGGGAATCGAACTCACGACCTTGCGCTTGCCAGGCACGTGCTGTGCCACTGAGCTAAACCCCCAGCCCTTCAAAACATTTTTAAAGTCTCTGTTCATAATACCTTCTTGTTCTATGATTTCAAAAATATATATAATATATTTTTAAAGTTTGCATAGAAAACATTGGTTTTTAAAATTTATTTTGTAATAGATGATTTCATGAAAGTACTTTGATCACTCTAATGATTTTAAAGCCCATTTCCCCCCAATTTCCTAGGTGGAAAATCTTTTCGCTGCAAACCATGGTGATTTCACTTCTTATCTGTTAGCTAGAACTTCTAGCCAGTTGCCATTAACAGCTATCAGCAGACACTCTTATCTTGTTTCTTATAAATAAAAATGGTTTAATATCACTGAGAATAATGCTGGCATTTGATATAAGATAGGTATTTTAATGAATTCAACAGTCCTAATCCAGTTTACATTTTTAAAAAAAACCTAACAATCATTACTGGATTTAATCAAATGCCTTTTTGCTGTTGATATCAGTCAGCTGAAGGCTTGGGGCTGTCCCCCGCCATCCTCAGCCCTGAGTGGTGTACGAGCTGTTGTCCCCCGAGCGGCAGGTGCAGGGTGCTGAGAGCACCTTACGGATGATCTTCTACCCTTCCGTCCACTCCCTTCTCTCTCGTGAAGGACGATCACTCAGGAAACAGCCTCGTGGGCTAGAACCTGAAGCAGCTCATGACACAGCCTGATGTGAGCTTGGCCGGGAGGAGAAGCTGCAGGCAGGCGTCGATCAGCTGGTGTGACACCACCCTTCTGTTCTTTGAGGGGTTTTCCTTGATCTCGATACGTTATTTAATATACTGCTGGATTTGAGTTGTTGGTAGTTTATTTAGGGTAGAAATATGCATCTACATCAGCTTTATTCTAAATGACTTATCAGCCCTGGGCTCGGTACTTGTACTCAGTGGGGCTGAATTTCCAAAGGATTTCTTTTTGGCAGCAAACATACAAGGCATTGTCTAATTCACAAGAAGGCAGCAGTTTTCCTTCTTCAGGGGGCCGGTGCCTTTGATGCTGTCTCTGAAAGAGGTGACCTTACTTTTTATTTATTTTAAAGAGAAAAAAAGCTAAAACAACGACATAAAATTTCAAAACGAGGTGGTAGGAGAGTACCAATGGTTAGTACAGACCGTAATTTTTACACAAACTATATGGCACTTTTCAGTCAAGGAAGTTGACTTCAATCATGAAATACCGTTGGATTTCCATCTGCAGTAATGAAGTTGGCAGGAGAGTGTGGCCACGGCCCACAGCAGCGAAGAGGTGGTGAGACTGCACCGCGCTCTGAAAGTGGCCTTCCGGCCCTCCACAGGGCTTCGCAGAATGCGTCCTCTCACAGGCCGCAGAGGCCCCGGGGCTCATCGCCCCCAAGGTCCACCTCTTCCTGGCTCTTCCCCAAACTTTCCCTGTGAAATGAGACCAAAACTAGCTTGCAATTGCCACACGCCATCAAAACCAAGTTTCCTGCTTCGTACCCTCAGCCTCTCAGGAATGTCCCCCGATGGGCGTGGCTGGCATCTGCTGCTGGAATGTCTGAAGCGGCCCAGGCCGGCCCCAGTGGGCTCAGGAAACGCAAGCTGCAATTCACAATAACCGCAAGGAGCCCTGCTGTGGCTTTGCTGCTTGGAAAGTATCGCCCAGACTCCTCACTGCCCACACCCAGTCAGAGGCTGCGATTCCAGGGCGATGGTCTTAGCAGCTGCTGTGATGTGTCATGCCAGAGGGTCAAACAGCGTGTCCATAAAGAGGGAGGGAAGGTTAAAAGTTAAGTCCAAGTGACCAAGCACCCTCGCACCTGGGGCCCTGCTGGACCGCAGTGGACATCGTCTGGCCAAGTTCAAGGTGACCACTCCGGGAGGGGCGCTGGCAAAGAAATGCAGCCGTGACGTGGAAAGGAGCAGGGACCCGGCCCGGCAAATAGCCACTAGAAATGAAAACAAACGGAAAGCGGTTGCTCAGGTGGCTAACTTCTGCAGCCGGATCTAAGGTTTTGATTTTCCATCCCCACCAGGACAAAAAGGCAAACTCTGAAGAAAGGCTTTCTAGTTTCCCACCACACAAGGACGAGGTAAGGAGGTGAACCTACTCACAGGGAGGGGCGGGGGCTGAGGGCAGGTGGTGCAAGTCCTGGGCCCAGGGGCCCAGCGGGGGAGGGAGGCGGCTGCACGCGATTGGAGCAGAGCCGGCTGAGGGAGGGGAGCCCACAGATGCCCCGTCCCCTCTCATTCCCAGGCTGCCTGGGGACCCCTGTGCCCCTGCCGCGGAGGGGAAGAGGCGCACTGCCCAGGCTGGTGGCTGCATCCATCTTGGCAAAAACTAGAGGAAGTTCTTCAAAGAAGTTATTTTCTAAACACATGCCATAGATGGTCTTCATAGATGATCTTCATTTACACCTACTTCAGTCTATTAGCCAAATATTTAACACTTGTTTATAAATGTACTATTCCATTTTGAATGTGTTGAGTAGCAGGAAATCAATAGAGATGTCAAAAGTTTCTCCCAAACTCAGAGAAAGATTAAACATCTTATGATCTTCTCCATCATTTCCTCAAAGTACTAGCTGGAGTGAAACTGTCTTGCTCGTGGGTTCATTTTTTTCCCGCTTGTTCAAGGATCGAATTTGTCTCACA